TACTACTACAACTACAGCGGCTACTAGTAGTAGTGCTATGACTACTACTGCTACCAGTCCGGCTCGTGCTACTACTGCTATTATCATGGCCACTACTACTAGTGCTACTGATGCTACTACTACTTTCGTTTCTACGTTTAGTATTTCTCGTATTAGTACCACTACTACGACTACAACGACTACTGCTACTACTGCACCTGTTATTACTACTACTTTTATTACTACTACTCGTAATACGACTTGTACTACTCCTACTTACCACGTAGTACGCACTACTTACTACTTATTGTGTGGTACTTACTACTACTACTACCACCACGACTACTGCTACTACTACTACTACTGCTACTGCTACCTTTACTACTACTACTACTACTACTACTACTACTACTACTACTACTACTACTACTACTACTACTACTACTACTACTAACTACTACTACTACTACTACTACTACTACTACTACTACTACTACTACTACTACTACTACTACTACTACTACTACTACTACTACTACCACCACTACTACTACTACTACTACTACTACTACTACTACTACTACTACTATTACTGCTGCTACTACTACTACTACTACTACCTCGGCTACTACTGCGACTACAGCTGCTACGGCTACTGCTACTACTACTGCTCCTACTGCTGCTACTACTACTTGTACGACTACTGCATTTATTTTTCTACTACGATCCAGTAAAAGACGGGCGATGTCCCAACCGTTAAAGCTGTCGTACGGATTCGGTCCTTTAAGTTTTCCGGTGAGGTTTCAAATTGTCATACACAACGCTGGTAATAAATTTATGTTCTCTTCCTGCTGCTACTCACTACTACGACGACGAAAGCCATTACTAATACCATTATTCCTACTACTACAACTACGACTACTAGTTACGACTTCCTGTGTTCATTTTTTGTAATCTCGATTGATTATTTTGTACGTGCTACTTACTCCTTGGTACTTGTTCCTGCTAGTACGACTCTTCGTGACCCTTCGGAATCCCTGAGGTCCTGTAGCGATCCTTACGAATCCTTTGGGAATTCTTGGGGATCCCTCGGACTCCTGAGGAATCGTTGGGAATCTCTTAGGAATCATTCATCATCTTTAGAGATCTTTTAGTGATCCGTAGGAATCCTTAGGAATCCTTTAGAACCATAGAAATGTCGAGGAACCCTTGAGAACCAATCGGGATCTTTTTAGGAATCCTTCGAATCCTTTTCAGAAATCCTTCGGAATCTTGAAGCATCCTTAAGCATCCCTCCGGATCCTCAGGAATCCTTGGGATTCCTTAGGGATCCATCGGAATCCGGAGGATTTTTTCCCATACATCCTGTGGTGTTGGGTCCTCGTTTTGAAGAGACGGTGCCCCGCGTTCCCGCCTCCTTCCTCCCTCCCTCCTCCCCCCTCCTCCCCCTCCCACACCCAATTTCGGCACACCCCTCACACGTTTCGTGGCCCCATAAGGAGCTCCACCGAAGGCCCCAGTGGCTGCGTCCGCATGCGGTTCCACCCCCCCCTTCTGGCACACCCCTCACACGTTTCGTGGCCCCATAGGGAGCTCCACCGAAGGCCCCAGTGGCTGCGCTCGCATGCGGTTCCACCCCCCATTTCGGCACACCCCTCACACGTTTCGTGGCTCCATAGGGAGCTCCACCGATGGCCCCAGTGGCTGCGTCCGCATGCGGTTCCACCCCCAATTTCGGCACACCCCTCACACGCTTCGTGGCCCCATAGGGAGCTCCACCGAGGGCCCCAGTGGCTGCGTCCGCATGCGGTTCCACCCCCCATTCTGGCACACCCCTCACACGTTTCGTGGCCCCATAGGGAGCTCCACCGAAGGCCCCAGTGGCTGCGCTCGCATGCGGTTCCACCCCCCATTTCGGCACACCCCTCACAACGTTTTCGTGCCACAACAGGAGAGCTCCACCGAAGGCCCCAGTGGCTGCATTCGCATGCGGTTCCACCCCCCATTCTGGCACACCCCTCACACGTTTCGTGGCCCCATAGGGAGCTCCACCGAAGGCCCCAGTGGCTGCGCCCGCATGCGGTTCCACCCCCCATTCTGGCACACCCCTCACACGTTTCGTGGCCCCATAGGGAGCTCCACCGAAGGCCCCAGTGGCTGCGCCCGCATGCGGTTCCACCCCCATTCTGGCACACCCCTCACACGTTTCGTGGCCCCATAGGGGCTCCGCCGAAGCCCAGTGGCTGCGCCCGCATGGGTTCCACCCATTTGGTACACCCCTTGCACGTTTCGTCACCCCATAGGGAGCTCCACCGAAGGCCCCAATGGCTGCGTTCGCATGGCGGCGCCGCACCCAATGTGGCACACCCCTCACACGTTTCGTGGCCCCATAGGGAGCTCCACCGAAGGCCCCAGTGGCTGCGTTGCGCATGGCGGCGCCGCACCCAATTTGGCACACCCCTCACACGTTCGTGGCCCCATAGGGAGCTCCACCGAAGGCCCCAGTGGCTGCGTTCGCATG